ATGGCATCTATATTTCAGCTGAATTTTACAGATGACTTTTAATGTGTAGCCTGTTGATCTTAAATTAAAAAAATCATTTATTTGCCTCTATTCTAAGTTGTACTATCTTTCTGTAATACCTAATACTATACCTGAAAAACAGAATAATGTAGATAAGCTCACAGGTCTGAAGTCACATGAACTTGAAGTCAAATTATATTTCCTATAATTTTTAGGAACTTTAATGCTCAGAATACGGCCAAACATAATATTAGAAGATGGTTGGGGAGTTCAAGTTGGTTGACTATGCTAGTTATAGTTTGTTTTGCAATGTATTTATAGCATTTATTTTCAGTTTTACCAAAAATATTTCATAATTTTTTTCACACTGTATTTTTTTAAATGGAGAGAAAAGAAAGAAGAATCATAATTGGGACTTCATTCATAGTGTTATTATCTGCATTTTATGGGAGAAGAAACTGAGGCTCAGATTTAGTGTTTAAGGCCAAGCAGAGACAGTGCCAGAATTTATTTGCTCTGAATCCAAAGCTCTTTCCACATTTGGGGTTGACTCTTTACCTTGATAAAGCTACACTGACCTTCAGTTATTTGTATTAACATTGAAAATAATAAAAAGAGATTTAATTAGGCTGTTAACTTCGTATTTTAGACTTTTGCTTCAACTGATCATTGAAGATACATGGAATTCAAGTCTTTTCTGTAGATAAAAGTGTTAAAAATACTTTTATATACAAATCTATGTCCTCACGACTCCTTCCCCATCCCCATGGATAGAAGTGCCTTGAAAGGCAACTCTAATTTGTGAAAATGGGTTAAAATCTCAACCTAGCACCATCAAAATCAGAGCTTCATTGGCAGAAGTTAAAGATTTAGCCATTTGTTTTAGAGAGAGATTGAATGATTCTGCCTTTGTTCAGACGTCTGCTAATTAATTGCTTCTGAATGTTTGAAAAGCTGTCTCTAAAAACTAGTGATTCCCACTATTCAGAATAAAGTTCATGAGAGGAACCTCTTTCCTTTATTCTGAACTTTTAAGTATCAGCTGCTTCTGTCTGATTCCCTCTCCCTATAGACACCACCACCGTAATGCTTCACTCGGTCATGTCTAGAATCATACAGGGCTGGGGAATGTGGTCTGAGATGGGTTCAGAGTGTTAAGGTCTTGTCAGATAGAAGAGATGGAGACATGGCAGCCAGGTATTCCATAAGGGCAGAATTAAGGGTCATGGTATAGCAGTCTCCCACTGTCTGCTATAGCGCAGCAGTAATAACAACAGCTAGCATTTACTGGTAGCTTACTGTATGTCAGATTCTATGCGGAACATTTTACATGTGTTCTCACAATCACCCTATAAGGTAGATATTATTATCCACTTCATTTAATAAATGAAGCAACTGAGAATCAGAGTTAAATAATTTGTCTGTGATCATACAACTAGAAATGATGTCATTGTCATGGACAAGGACCTTGATAGCATCATAATTCCTACTTACTGGTCACAAACCCCCCTGACTCTGGATTTCAACTTTATGCTATTGCCTTTCCCTCTGTGATGTCACCCTAGACTCAAAAATATCCCTGAACGCTACCACATCTGCCTTTAGAGTTACTTTCAGACAAAGGAAGGGTGTGTGTGTGTGTGTGTGTGTGTGTGTGTTTGAGAGAGAGAGAGAGAGACTTACCACAATATAGTCCTGATATGCTTCTTCCAGCAATTATAAGTATATGAGATGGTCCCAATTTTGAAAACCCCATCAAGAGAGCTCCAACTAATGAAAGAATGTTTGCTATTAACATGGCTTTGATTCTGAAATTTTAAAAAGCAAGGAATATAAATTCAACATCAAAACTTGCTAGAATTATTTGCTTTCAGAGCATGTTGAGTTTTTTTTTTTTTTTTTTTTTTTTTAACTTAAGAGCAATTATTTTAATTTTGCTGTAAAACCTAGTTGGGGAATCTTGAACCAAGATTGCTAATTTGACTCATCTATGGACTAAAGTATTAGTAATAAGCAAGATTTATGATGAAAGAACCTAGGTTGCATCCACTTGATCTCTACATGTTTCTCTTTTATTTTGAGTCAGGGTCTCGCTTGCTCTGTTACTCAGGCTGGAGTGCAAAGGCACCATCATGGTTCTTTGCAGCCTTGACCTCCCAGGCTCAAGCGCAGTCTCTACATTTTGATAGAGATGATTCAATCGCGGTGATGACTAGCTTAAGATAACACTTCTGACAGTTTTTCAAAGAGTTAACTAAGTTTTCTCTAAGTTGATTGTTTTAAAGAATAATTGCCTGGTGACAGCTAAATTCAATTCTGTAGTTGTAACCTACAACTTTCTTTTTTCTTTCAGTGGCACAGGTTTTTAATTGATCTAGATAGGAAAGGAACTTTCAAAGTTAAATTTCCTTTTGTATAAATTATTTGGAAGTAATTTAAAACTTACTTTAAGCCTTATCTAGAGAATTATAATTATCCTTATTTTAATATATGCCAGCATATTTCCAAAATCTATAAATTAATAGTGACCAGTGTAAAATACATAATAGAGCTGACAGTAGCAACAAAAACACTTTCAAAATTAATCAGATGAAAATTGACAACATTTGCAGATATCCGTTCCTTTTATTTCTAATTAATGGGAAAGCAACGTACACAGAAAACCTTTTTTTGCAGTCAAAAAGATAATAGTAAGGCCAATCAATGTCTGAGTAGACAGGTGTGAAAATGTTTGTGCCAAAAGAAATGTAAACGTCCTTGTTATATTCTATTTCACTGCTTCAAACTTTGATAGATGGGCTTTTTCTATGCAAGTGTCTTTAACACCAACAGATTTTTTTTTTCTGGAGCATAAAGCTATAAAGTCATATACTGCAGTGATTGTCTAACATCCACGTGATAGGCTAAATCATGTCTCCCAGCAGCCTACAGCATAATCCCCAGACCCTGTAAATGTTACCTCACATAGCAAATGAGATTTTGCAAATGTGATTGAGAAACTTGAGGTGGGGAGATTATCTTGAATTATTTGAGTGAATCCAATGATGTAATCACAAGTGTCCTTATAAGAGTAAGGTAGAAGAGGAGCAGGTGATGTGATGACAGAAGTAGAGATTAGAATGTTGTGCTTCAAAGATGGAGGAAGGGGCCACAAGCCAGAGAATATAGTTGGTCACTGCAAGCTGGAAAAGGGCAAGGAATGCATTCTTCCTCAGAGCCTCCAGAAGGAACAGCCTTACTGACCTTTTGACTTTAGCTAACTAAAACTGAGTTTGGACTTTTGACTTCCAAGACTATGAGAAAACATATTTGTGTTGTTTTAAGCCACTAAATTGGGGATAATTCATTACAGCAGCAGTATGAAATGAGTATAGGGAAACAGAGTGATTTAGAGCTGGCTAGCCCCAGAGCTACAGAGTAGAAAAACAGTTAAGGGGTGGTTAGTAGTTTAGACTATTGTGAAATGCTTTTTATCTACACAGGGACAGAGGGCAGGCAAATTCAATAATTGACCTTAACCAGTTGTTACCACCTAGCTAATAGTCTCTTTTATTAGGGGAAAAAAGATAAAACGTCATAAAAGAAATAGCCTGGAAGAATCTTGGATGCCAGATTGCCCAAAAGTCCCTTTCCTTATCACCAAAGGATGCAGGAGCACTTTATATAATTTAAATTCTTTTAATGTCTGTTCAGATATGAGAAATGGCCACAAATAAGTAATTTTAAAAATACATGAAATAGCTGAATCAGGGAAAAAGAAACTTAATTCTACCTAAGTATATTTCTTAAAATTTGACTCTAAATACTTCAGATAGTATAGGCTTCATTATTGTCGTGGTCATGGTCATTGTGGTCATCATCATCATCATCATCATCAAAATGAGGCCACATTTGCTGCTTGCTTAATATATGTTAGGCATTGTTTTAAACCTTTTATATTTGTTCTCATTAAATCCTCACAATAATGCCATGAGGTAGGTATTATTTTTGTTTTCACATTGCAGATGGGAGGAAAACATTTTAGAGAACCTAATAACTTGCTTATTTTCATACAGCTATTAAGTGACAGATCTTGGACTTGATCTGTGTGAAGCCAAAGGGTAATGCTTCATTTTAATGAGTTCCATTTTTGATGGAAAAGAATGCATGCATTCAAAGGCAAGCTATGCATCGCTTCCTTTACTCATGGTAGTGTGGATTGCACAGACCATAGTCTTCTCTACCATACCCTGGTAATTAAACTGTAAATGCACAGGTTGAAGAAATTGGCCTTGCAAACCCAAAACTAGAAAATGGTGGCCACAGACGTCTATTGACTATTACACAATTGCAAGGAAACACTTTTTTTATAAGGCAATAATAGAAGTATTACATTTTTATTTATTTACTTTTAACTGATGGATAAATGACACTGGTAATAATGAAAATCATGTCACTTCTCAGTGAATCTAGAAAGATAATTTTATAGGGGATACTGATAACTTTTTTCTTAATTTTGATGTTGAAGTTGTGAACTTTTCGGCTGCTTTTCAAGGAGGATCATTTTTCTACTAAAAGCTAGAAGAAACCTCACTTTTTGTTTATCATAGGTCATTTGATACATGGTCATTTGATATTGTTTTGAGGTATAACCATTGTTGATGCCAAATCCTAAGACTTCAGAAGGTTTGTGTATTGGCTCCATTAAGTGTTAATTAAATGTTAACACTAATTAAATGTTTTAGGTTAAGTCACTGAACTTATCAGAATCTTACCTCTAAATGAGGGGCAACCAGGGTTTACATTTTTTCTTCAGGAATGAGAAGTAGTATAAAATATCAGTAGTTGCTAAATGATTTGTTCATATTTTAAAACGTAATTTAATTTTGCTTAATTTGATTTACTGTAAAAATTTTTTTTAAATTATTTTTCCTTTTTCCTTTTGTCTGAGTCTACTTGCTAGGGAATAATTTACTTTAGAAATAAATAATTAATATAGAGAATTCTCCACTTACTACTTAAAGCAACTTGATACACACTGAAATTATTTTTAAATTTTTTTAAATGATGAAATTCAGTTTATTAATCTGTGTTTTACAGATTCTTATTTAAAGTTCAACTGAACATCAGCAAGTTGATTAAAAGGTAAGAAACTGACCACTGTCTTTTATGGTGGAGAAAACGCCATTTCAAGTAAAAATAATAATACAACTTGGGTTACCATGATATTGTAGTTAAGAAAACTTATAGTCATATTATATAAAAGCTCCAGTATAAGAGGAAGAGTTATCAGAATTTTAATAGAGAGCTAAAAATTATAATTTATAATAAGAATTTAAAAATCTAAGTGAATTGTAATTCAGAATTATTAAACTAGTTGCCTAAATTGTTATTTACATCTTTAAAGGCATTTTCATTTTTCTAAATTTTTCATATATTATTTTTATGAGAAAAAAGGTAATGTGCAAAAGGTGGGCTCAAATAGGAGAAAAAATAAATCTAAAAAATAATCATTTGATACTCTGGTTTTATTTCCTCTCTATATAGGGTAGGAAATTCCAACAGCTGTAGTACATTGCATGAATAAGTAAAGTTTGAGGGTAAAGGAGTTCCACTGATATTTTTAATCCAAAAAACCTAACAGACACCCAAGTGATAAATGGAGGTATCTCTTGCCTCATCTCTGGTTGGGGCTTTGAGATAGCAAGCAGGACCAGCAGCCAGAAACCACATACCAAGTACATTGGGCAACTGGGAGTTGGGGATATTGACTGAACCTTTGTACTTGACTGATCCAAATGCCAAATTCTAATTTAAAAAGGGAAAACTGGATGTTTGAGAAACAGTGATTTGGTGAAACAAACAGTGGACTCCCAGGTTAAAAACTCTAGTCTCTTCTGCTGAGTTCCTGAGTTAACCGTTTGTGTAGTGGTCTCCTAGTATATTTTATAAATTACAAAGCTAGAGGATCAAAGTAACTATCTAGAAATACACACAACAATCACGTTTGGTATAAATGTCCGAACAATTAATCAAACTTTCATTGATTTGATCTAACACTGATATGCCTCATAGGGTCATGAGTTGAAAAAACAACTCTAACACTGTTCCGCAAGAAAAAAGATAGTATTTTTCTAAACAAATGTTAAGAAAATGAAAATACGCAAGTTTCTGTTTATGCTTATTTATGAAATTTGCCTACCTTCCAAGTGTGTCCCCAAGCCACCCACCAAAGAATGATGCAATCATTCCACCAACTGCAAAGCTGGATACAGACAGGGACCAGAGCATAGTGATTAGTTGAGCAGCTGCCACAGTCTCTTCCTCAGCCCAAGGGGTTGGTTTTGGGTTCATTGAGTATGCAATTGTGGGCAGTTCATCTGTACTGTTGGTAACATAGTTGTTGATAGCTTTTCGGTCATCCACTGGAACACCCAAAACATGTCTATAGTGAGATATTATTACCTAGGAGATAAAGAAAAACAGCTTTACTATTTCAAACATTCTATGTATTTTTGTTTGTTTTGTCTTTAAAGTGTTTGTTATGTGTTTAAATAGTACCATCTCAATTATGTGTTTTATATACATATAAACGTGGGTAGATTTGTTTACAGTTGGCCATATCCTATAAAATAGAGGTTATAAATTCCATTGCCAACAAGAACCAGGCAGGAACAAATAAATGAAGGGAACATGTAATACTTTGATGACTGGGAGACTAAAATACATTTTCCACTATTTGGGACTAATATGGAATGGTCAGGATTGTAGAACTGGAGAGCAGAAGGAAGCTGCAAATGTGAAACTGGTGCTGGATGACCTTTAATTTTTTAACAGAAAGTCAGAAATCTGAGTTTTTATGTAAAATTTTTCAAGTTTTTTATATTGGCAACTATTGAAATGGAAACTATTCTGCAGGCTAGGCTGGGCATGGTGGCTCACACCTATAATCTCAGCACTTTGGGAGACCGAGGTGGGTGGATTGCTTGAGCTCAGGAGTTTGAGACCAGGCTGGGCAACATGGTGAAACCCCGTCTCTACGAAAGATACTAAAAATTACCCAGGCATGGTGGCACACGCCTGTAGTCCCAGCTACTTGGGGGGCTGAAGCGGGAAGATTGCTTGAGCCTGGGAGGTTGAGGCTGCAGTGAGTCAAGATGGAGCCACTGCACTCCAGCCTGAGTGACAAAGTAAGACCTGGGTCTCAAAAAATATATATATTCTGCAAGCTAAAAAGATACATTTTCATGCTAGTATTACTTCTGCACAGCAGGATTTAAATTGACATATACATATCTTAACAGAATCATAAAAGTGGATATAAGAAAAAAGACTGGAAAAGTTAAGATGAGGGTCAAAAATAAAGTTAGCATACAGAATTCAAACACTAGGTGGTATATCTTTGTTGGAAGTGAGCTACAAATTTACCAGTAAACTTCCTAGCCACCAGGGCAAAGAGAGGAAAACAACCAGGTGTATTATTGATGAATTCCTAAGATAACAATAACTTAGTGGCCCTTGAGAAGGCATTGAGACCTGAAGGAAGTTTCTCCTGTGGGTCCTCATAGAGTTAAGTTTGTAACAGAATGAACAACATTGAAAACTAAATTTCATGGAGCCATATTTTGTAATGTGCTTCATATAATTCAGATGAATTATAGGACATGGGAGGAAGATGGCCTCATCTTCCTCTCAATGATGATTTGGTCACTATTTAGCATCAGTGAGCTGGGAGGGCACTCTCTGTAAAGGACCTGGAATGCAGCTGCTCTGGGTGACTAGTTATGGGCAAAGGCCTATTTGGTAATGCCAGCTGAGTGAGGTGAATAATTGAGCATCCTCTTATAAAAGAATTCTGATCAAGACATTTGCCTCAGGCCGGGTACCGTAGCTCACGCCTGTAATCTAGCACTTTGGGGGGCTGAGGTGTGCGGATCACTTGGGGTCAGGAGTTCAAGACCAGCCTGGCCAATGTAGTGAAACCCTGTCTCTACTAAAAATACAATAAATTAGCTAAGCATTGTGGCTGGAGCCTGTAATCTCAGCTGCTCAGGAGGCTGAGGCAGGAGAATAACTCAGGAGGCAAAGGTTGAAGTGAAAATCTCCAGCCTGGACAATAGAGCAAGACTTTGTTTCAGAAAACTAAAACAAAAACATTTGCCTCACTAGAAGGCTGCCTTATATGAATAATATGCATAGAAAAAAAAAGCTGGAAGGAAATATCCAAAATGTTCTCAGCAGTTTGCTCATTCTGGTAGAATAATTATGAGTATTTTTTTTCTAATACTGTCTTCAGTAGGCATGTGTAATTTTCATAACCATACGAAAGTGTGATTTTAAAATCCTTTCAAATAATCCTAAATGTCATTCAGCTGATAAAAAAGGGCTTAAAAATCTCTTATTTAATGGTGTTTCAGCAGCAATTTAAACACAAAAGGAAGGGCCTGTATATAGAGAGAGCACTAACTTGGATGCCAGCATGGGGATCGCTGTTTTCAGCTCTGGCTCTGGGACTTCGATTGAAGGATGTGAAACCTTAGCCTAAGCTTCCCTTTAAGACTGGAGGGAATGGTTTAATTTTTAAAAATTTTTTAAATTTTTATTTATTATTATTATTTTGAGATGGAGTTTCGCTCTTGTTCCCCAGGCTGGAGTGCAATGGTGCAATCTCGGCTCATTGCAACCTCTGCCTCCCAGGTTCAAGTGATTCTCCTGCCTCAGCCTCCCGAGTAGCTGGGATTACAGGCGTGTGCCACCATGCTGGGCTAATTTTGTATTTTTAGTAGAGCCAAGGTTTCTCCATGTTGGTCAGGCTGGTCTTGAACTCCTGACCTCCGGTGATCCGCCCGCCTCAGCCTCCCAAAGTGCTGAGATTTCAGGTGTAAGCCATTGAGCCCGGCCAGGGATGGTTTAATTAATGATGTGATAAAGCCTTCCACAAAAAGAGAAGGGGCTCTATTAATCAAGTCATGGTGATGTTGAGTGTTAAATTGTTAAATGATGTTAAATTCCCGGAAACCTGCTAAATTGGCATGTGTTGTCATCACCCACACAAAAGAGATATGACCCTCGTCTCTTGATCCCCAGCACTATGCCCTGGATCTCTTAGCCTGCCACACTCCTGATGATTGTGGCACCTAATCGGAGCACATCTTTCAGTAGGAAGCAGCCCTTTTCAGGTGATGGAATATGGTCAGCGTGTATTTCACATATCCACACCCTGCAGTATCTTTCATTTTCCTTGGGGCCCGATGTTCTAAAAGAAGCAGAGGAAATATAATGGACTTATAGAAGGCATCCAAACAATGTTTGTACCTTCACTTTATGCCACCTCTTCCCCAAGTTCCTCTTCTCTCTTTCATTAATTCACTCCTCTTTATTGAGTACCTTCTTTATGCCAACTACTGTGCTAGGCACCAGTGATAGGAAGAGGAACAATTCATCAGTCCTGCCCTCAATGACCTCACAGTCTAGTTAGAGCAGAGGGGAATGAAGTCCTGGTTCCCCAACTTATGGGCTGTGGGAACTGAGAATAACATACCTCTCCCGTGTATTCATTAAATACCAGAATAAGGATGCACAAAATATATGAGAAAAATGGTTGAAATAACTTGATTAAAAATTCACCCAAAGAGTGATCATGGAGAAAATCCAAACTTTGTTGAACTTCTTGAATATTATTCTAAAGTTTTATATTACTTTACTTTGGATCACTTATTGAAGACAGGAATGGTGGGGGAAGGACCATAATCTCTTTTAGTTTAGGGCTTCTTAAGGTTTTAATATAGACTGGAAATTGGCATAATAAGGTTGTTGGGAGGATCCAGTTGGGGAGATCATATGTTAAAGTACCTGATGCAAATAAGCAGGTGCTCAAAAAATGTGCCCTGAGTGAAACATCCTTATTCCCTGGCACTTTTCATTCATGTATGCCTGAGAGCTCTGAATGAATGTTGCAATGAGCTCTCTTTTTTTTTTTTTTTTTTTGAAGTTTCCTTCAGCACATGATATTCTGCCTGGAGTTTTCTGTGAGCTCAGCAAACAGCATAGTCAGAGATTAAGAATTATTTATTGCCTCCTTTTTTTTCCCCCCGTGATTGTTAATTGAGGAGTCAAGGCCAAGTTATCAGCTTTGGAACAGTGCA